ATGTTTTTAAAATCATTATATTTGGTCAAATTTGAAATTGTTCAGGAAGAAAAGGGACTTTGTTTATGGGTCATCTTGGCAATTATTTAAGCTTTTTGAACCATGATTATATCTTAAATGTTAAAATTCTATAGATTAAACATTTATGCTAGCTTACTATTTCTCTCTGCTAAACATGCCAAAGGCATCCTGTGAGTGCCATAGGGGCAAGTAACACAAGGGGGGTTTTGGGGGATCTCCCCAATAAAATTGTGAAAATTTAAGTCAATTACCTGGCATTTGAGGTCATAGCTGAGAGCAAATTCTTATGAACGCAAGGATCAGAAATTGGACAGAATCTAGACATCTGCCTGTCAATTCTGCCTGTTTTGTGATAGTATAAGACTGCAGCTGAGTGAAAGAATGATGTCATACCATGCCCTGAAACAATTTTAAATATCGACGCATAATATTTAAAATACTGAGCACTAATTTTTTGGGACTGGGCTGAGGGTTACTGCAGATTCAAAATGTCATCTCCAAGTTTTCCCATTCAAAACTGCGAATCAACCAATGTGGTTAAGAATAATTCCAAGAGCATCGCTAACGCTGCAATATACGTCCACATTCCAGCTTTGATTGATATGGTACTTTTTAAAATGAAGAGAATGAAATATGAAATGGCTGTAATATGACAATTATACTGCTCCAGGAAGTCGGGGCATGTACCAAAATAAATAGTTGCTGTCTTTCAGTATAAGGGATAAATATGCAAAGTTCCAAGATGATCCATTCAGAATTGCAGCCTATAGATGATAAATACAAAAATCGGATGTGGCTCTGCCCCTGGTGGTTGAATATGGAACAATATAAATAGGGTATAAGGAATAAGTATACCAAGTTCCAAGATAATCCATTCAGTATTGTGGCCTTCGCCCCTGGGGGTCAGGGCATTCACCAAAATCCATAATTGACGTCCTTAGGTTATAAGGAATACATATGCCAAGTACCAAGTTGATCCATTCAGAATTGCGGCCTGTAAACGATAAACACAAAAATATGGGCGTGGCTCTTCCCCTGGTGGTTGGGACATGCAGTTGTCATGCTTAGGGTATAAGAAATAGGTATGCAAAGTTTCAAAAGGATCTGTTAAGAATTGTGGCCTGTAGGCGAAACACAAACATTGGGCGTGGCTCTGTCCCTGGGGGTCGAGCAAGCACCAAAAATAATAGAGGTCAGCCTTAGGGTATAAGGAATAAGTATAAAACAGTTTTAAAGATGACTGATTAAGCATTGCAAGCTGTAAGTGACACAATAACACACAAAAAGAAAATTGTGTGTGCCTCTGCCCCTGGGGATTGGGCATTCACCAAAAAATATAGGGATGTTCCTTAGGATAGAAGGAATAAGTATGCAAAGTTTCAAGGTAATATGTTAAGAAATTTGGTCTGTAGATGACAAACAAATAAATACAAGAAATGGGCGTGGCTCTGCCACTGGGGGACAGGCATGCACCAAAAACAATAGGGGTCATCCTTAGGGTATAAGGAATTCATACGCAATTTTTTCAAGACGATCGATTAATAATTGTGGCCTGTAGGCGATAAACAGATACACAAAAAGAAAATGGGCGTGGCTCTGCCCCTGGGAGTTGGGCGTGCACCCCAAACGATAGGGCTGTTCCTTAGGGTACAAAGAATAAGTATGCAAAGTTTCAAGATGATACGTTAAGAAATGCAGCCTGTCGATGCCAAAAAAATACAAAATATTGGTGTTGCTCTGCCACTGGGGGTCGGGCATGCACCAAAAACAATAGGGATCATCCTTAAGGTATATGGAATAAGTATGTAAAGTTTCAAGACGATAAGTCAAGCATTGCGCCCTGTAGGCAACATACAGACACCCAAAAAGAAAATGGGCGTGGCTCTGCGAGAGAGAGAGAAATGGGGTTTAACTCCACTCAACACAAACTAGGTCATTTCGGGACTAACATATGGTTTTTTGATTTTATTTCAATTATTCGCTTGCGCATAGGGGTCTTTAGCAGTGGGAGGAAACCGGAGGACCCAGAAAAAACCCACGAGGTTGGACAGGCGACCCTACTCCTTGTCACGTACAACCGGGGATTCGAAACCACGCCAGTCGACTCAATGACAGACTTTATGATACAGCGCGCGCACGCTAACCATTCAGCCATCCAACCCCCCTCCCTTGGGGTTGGGCATGTACCAAAAACAATAGTGACGATCCTTAGGGTATAAGGAATAAATATGCAAAGTTTGAAGTGGATTCGATAAGAAATGCGACCTGTAGACGACAAACAAAGAAATACAAAAAAAAGGTGTGGCTCTGCCCATGGGGGTTGGGCAATGGGCATGCACCAAAAAAAATAGGGAACATCCTTAGGGTATAAGGAGTAAGTATGTAAAGTTTCAAGACAATCAGTTAAGAATTGCGGTCTGTAGGCGACACACACGCGCACTCACCCAGACAGGGGAGACGGCAATATACGTCCACATTATGAATGTGGACGTATAGTATAATAAAGTACAAAAACCTTCACATGTAATGCAGAATGTCATATTTCTCAAGATAAATAAATATAAAAATATTTCTATAAAAAAAACCAGCGGCTGCCAGACAGGATAAGTCCACATTTTGCAAGAGATGGATAGAGAACAAGCTAAACAAAAAGTGATTTTTTCGTAAAATCAAGGGCCATAATTCAGGAAGTTATGGTACGATATGCACGCATACATACAAGAACCAAGATCTTTGGGTTATAAAGATATATTTCAAGTTTCATCAAAATCGGATCAACATTGTGACTTCTAGAGGGTCGACAAACTTGATATATTTACACTATTTGCGTACGAGGGGTGGCCATTTTGTCCGGCAGTTTTGGTCCGATTTTCACGAAATTCTAACTTAGCCATTATTAGGGTGTAACGGTGAAATATTCAAATGTTTTTTTCAATCGGATAAAAATTGTGACCTCAAGAGGGAACACAAACTAAAAACGCGATTTTTCGTATAATCAAGGGCCATAATTCAGGAAGTTATGATCCGATATGTGCAAATATTGAAAGGAACCAAGATCATTGGGTTATAAACATGCATTTTAAGTTTCATCAAAATCAGATGAACATTGTGACCTCTAGGGTGTTCAGAAGCTAAAAATGTGATTTTTCTTACAATCAGGGGCCATAATCCATGAAGTTATCGTCCGATATATGCCAATATCGAAAGGAACCGAGATCTTTGAGAGACAGACCTATATTTTAAGTTTCATCGTAATCGGATAAAAATTGTGACCTGTTGAGTGTTCACAAACAAATTGTTGACGGATGGACAAACAGGGGCGACGGCATAATACGTCCACATGAAAATGTGGGTGTATAAAAATGTACAAAAAGCACTTTCAACCAACCTATGATCCACATTTATTAGGCTAAACATTCATGGCTGAGATACGGAGTGGAAGTGAATAATTTATAATTCTATACAGTACAGATATCTCGGAAATAGAATCACCTTTAAATTCCATAGATACTTTTGATTTGCTTGTAAGACACAAATTTGATTTTTTCATGGAAAAATTGGGAAATATTTTAAGTTTATATTGGTCTCTCTCAAACAAACATAGTAATAATAAACTGCCAGGTTTTTTCCCCCTAAAAATCAGTCATGGAGTATATCCTGTTTTGGGGAAGAGGTCTTGGATTCATACCAGAATAATGTGTCTATTTCTAATGAAATGCGTATATAATTCCTGATGATTTATTGCAAACATAATGAAAGTTACACATTAAAAATCAATTTCTTAAAGAGTCTAGATTGTATACTACTGGTACACTATTAATAACATTAAATTTAACATTTCTAAGACAATACTAAAGTAACATGTAAAAATTATAATACTTTATAAAATAAATTGTGGTTGTTAGACTTCTGATGATGATCCACCAATGGCTCCCCCTGTAGCCCCAGACATTAATTTATCTGTTTCATCATAATGACATTCAGCACTTGTATCAACATTAACATAAGTACTTTCAATATTTCGTTTCTGTGGACCTGTTTTGTGTTCTAGTTTTTGTATCATATTACTAATTTCATTCACAAGATCACTAAAAGCAGGTCGATCTTGTGGATTTGCATTCCAACATTGTCTCATGATCTCAAACCTGAAATAAAGTTAAAGACAGGAATTCTTTTTTTTATTTGTGCAAGCGTAAGATTGAGTCTACAGTAAATATGATAATTTTATTTTATTGTGCTAATGATTTAGTAATTATTAGAAGCAAGCCCAGATCTCTCAGGATATACTTTGATAAAGGTCGGTTTAAGTAAGAAAATCAAACACCAACGTGTGGAAAAAATAGCCCAATTACCAAGTCTTAAATTTTCAAACCAAAACCATTTGGAAATGATCACTACATTTTCTTAACAGGGCCATACATTTAAGAAATTTTACTGTTCAATTGTATAGGTGTCTTGCAATTTACAAACATGACAATCAGTTGCAACCTTAATTTTTGCAAAAATATAGCTATGATAATCAAGGCACTTCTATAATGTGCAATTTGGGGACTTGTTATAGTCTGGAAGTGGTAGAAGGGTGAAAGAATCCCTGTTACAGTACAAGTAAGTCTAGATCTCAGTGTTACAGTCGGGGAAGAGCAGGTAAAAATCCTGGTAAATAATCTAAATAAATTAATCTCTGTGTAACAAACTTGACAAGACTGTATAAAGTAAAGTGGTTTAATCCAGGACACATTTTGAGCTATAGTTGATGAACGACTGTAGCCAGAAACCTGTTTTGGATTAAAACGTACTTTACTTATTCAGATTTGTCAAGTTTGTTGCTCAGGGATTAATTTATTACTCTATTTCCAATCTAAATGATATAATACTAATATTATTTTCAGTCTCACTTCCTTGTGAACTCTTGGTCATGAATTGTGATGAAACTGTCTTTGAATTATCAATAGGTTCATAAATATAACAATAAATGTTACTTACAAAGGATCAGGACAGTATTGGGGTTGAGCCATTCTTCTTCCAGCCTTTAAATAACGTATAACATCCCAGTTATCTACCTCGGGATACGGATTAACTCCCCTTGTCATCAACTCCCATAAAACTACACCAAACGACCACTATAATAAAATACAAAATAGTTCACTTATTGTAATTAAATATAATCATATTGACATGCCCCTGTGCAGTCTATCTTGAATAATATCGCTTTTTTCTGGTCATTATGTCTAGTATGTTTATCTTTCAAATGCTTTAAATGGGATGTATTTAAGGCAGTCCTACAGAAAATGAGTAGTCAGTCACACAATCAATTAGGAGTGTGCATGTATTAATTCGAGTATATAATAAAACCACCATTATTTTACTAACAACCGGTGCTTTTAACATTTTTAGGCATGGTATGATTTCAATTATATTTAATCAAATGTATAGAAAATAATATATGATTTAATTTTCAAGCATAAACTCTCAAGTACGATATGCCTTTAATAATAATAATATCAATGGAAAAATTGTACTAATTTAATTCTAGTAGCCAAGGTTATAATTAATATTACAACAAGACTGCTAATTCTGAATCTTTATTAAGACAATAAATCCTGTTTGTCATTGATTTGTATTTAATACCAGCGGCTGCCAGGCAGGATACGCCCACATTTTCGAGAGATGGGTAGAGAACAAGCTAAAAAGAAAGTGATTTTTCCTACAATCAAGGGCCATAATTCAGGAAATTACAATTCGATATGCGCAAATATCGAAAGGAACTGAGATCTTTGGGTTATAAACTTACATTTCAAGTTTCAACAAAATCGGATAAAAATTGTGACCTCCATTGGATCCACAACATTGATCTATCTATCTATATATATATTTGTGACTGTCGTTTGTCTGTCTGTCTGTCTGTTCGGGGTTGGCGGCTACACTAGGTCTGCCCCGAGTCTGAAATTTGGGGTATAGGGGTAGCTCGGACCGGGGAGTAACATAGGCCAGGTGGCGTTACTCTACCACTTCCGGTTTCGGAGTTATGACCCCCGAGCGAAGTCCGTCTGTTCGGGGTTGGCGGCTACATCTGCCCTGAGTCTGAAATTTGGGGTATAGGGGTAGCTTGGACCGGGAGTAACATAGGCCAGGTGGCGTTAGTCTACAACTTCCGGTTTCGGAGTTATGACCCCTGAGCGAAGTCTGTTCGGGGTTGGCGGATACACTAGGTCTGCCCCTAGTCTGAAATTTGGGGTATAGGGGTAGCTCAGACCGGGAGTAATATAGGCCAGGTGGTGTTAGTCTACCACTTCCGGTTTCGGAGTTATGACCCCCGAGCGAAGCCGGTCTGTTCGGGGTTGGCGGCTACACTAGGTCTGCCCCGAGTCTGAAATTTGGGGTATAGGGGTAGCTCGGACCGGGGAGTAACATAGGCCAGGTGGCGTTAGTCTACCACTTCCGGTTTCGGAGTTATGACCCACGAGCGAAGCCGGGTATCCTGCTAGTATACCATATTTTTACACTATTTGAGAACGAAGGGCGGCCATTTTGTCTGTCAATTTTGGGCTAATTTTCACAAAATTCGCACTCAGCCGTCCTGAGGCTGTAACAGTGATATAATAATACGGTTTTTAAAATCGGATAAAAATTATGACCTCTATAGGGTCCACAAGCTAAAAATGCGATTTTTCGTACAATCAGGGGTCATAATTCAGGAAGTTACCGTCCGATATGCACGAACATCGATAGGAACCAAGATCTTTGGGTTATAAACTTACATTTCAAGTTTCAATAAAATCAGATTAAAATTGTGACCTCCATAGGGTCCACAACCTTGATATACCATTTTTACGCTATTTGAGAACGAAGGGCGGCCATTTTGTCTGTCAGTTTTGGGCTGATTTTCACGAAATTCGAACTCAGCCTTCCTTAGGGTGTAATGGTGATATAATGATACGTTTTTTTTAAATCGGATAAAAATTATGACCTCTATAGGGTCCACAAGCTAAAAACGCGATTTTTCGTACAATCAGGGGCCATAATTCAGGAAGTTACGATCCGATATGCGCGAATATCAAAAGGAATCGAGATCTGTGGGTTATAAACATACATTTCAAGTTTCAACAAAATCGGATAAAAATTGTGACCTCTATAGAGTCCACAAGCTAAAAATGTGATTTTTCGTACAAATAGGGGCCATAATCCATGAAGTTTTGATCCGATACATGCCAATATCGAAAGCAGCCAAGATCTTTTGGAGATAAACCTATATATCAAGTTTTGTCAAAATCGGATAAGAATTGTGACCTGTAGAGTGTCTACAAACAATTGTGGACGGACGGACAGGGGCGACGACAATATACGTCCACATGAAAATGTGAGCATATAATAAAATTATTTAACTCACCACATCTGATTTAGCACTGTACGTTCCTTTTTCCAAACTTTCCATTGCCATCCATTTTACTGGTAATTTCATTTTTTTATTGTCTGAACTGTAATAATCTTTTTCATAGATATCTCTTGCTAAACCAAAATCAGCCACCTTTGCTCGGAAATCTTGATCCAACCTTCGTAATGATAAGTTAAATCAAATAAAATAGACTACAAAAAGTTTATAGACAATGTTATAATCTTATACCAAGAAAACTAAGAGACCTTCAGAATTTTTGAGACACACGTGATCATACAGTCTATAGGAGAAATCACTCAAAATTATAATACAGGTTAGAGAATTTATCAATCTATTCAAATTGTATATCCACATTATATAGTAGTTCTCCATGTTGGCAATAAAAAATTTACTGAGCCATAGACGATATTTAGAAGTTTAAATCTGAATTGAATAGGAATTATGGTTAGTACTATAAAAAATATTTTAGTTTAATGTTTATATTTGTTTTGTTTTTTTGTGATACATTCATTGGCTTCTGAAATTAAGCCATCGCAAGCACGTCACTAAATTCGGCAATGCAACTTTAAATCTATTTTAAAAATGCAAATCCATTGTTTCTAAATTACCAGTGAAATATTATGTTTCCAAGACAAGTCTAAAACCAGCGGTTGCCAGGCAAGATACACCAATATTTTGCAAGAGATGGATAGAGAACAAGCTAAAAAAAAAAAAACCTGTGATTTTTCTACAATCAGGGACCATAATCCAGGAAGTTATGGTCTGAAATGTGCAAATATTGAAAGGAACCGAGATCTTTGGGATATAAACATAAGTTTCATCAAAATCGGACAAAAATTGTGACCTTTAGAGGGTCCACAACCTTCGTATTAATACTTTTACACAATATGCGCAAGGAGCAGCCATTTTGTGGGGCAGTTTCGTTTTGATTTTCCCCAAAATTTGAACTCAACCTTCATTATGGTGTAACGGTCATATATTTAACGGTTTTTAAAATCGGATAAAAAGTGTAACCTCTAGAGATTCCACAAGCTAAAAATGTGATTTCAGTAAGTTATGGTCAGATATGTGCGAATATCCAGAGGAACTGAAATCTTTGGGATATAAACATATATTTTAAGTTTCATCAAAATCAGACAAAAATTGTGACCTCTAGCGGGTCCACCACCTTTGCAATATATACCTTTACACAATTTGCGTTCAGGGAACGGCCATTTCGTCAGGCAGTTTTGGTTCGATTTTTATGAAATTGGAATTCAATCACCATCAGGTGTAACGATGATATATCCAAACGATTTTTAAAATCGGATAAAAATTGTGACCTCTAGTGGTTCCACAAGCTAAAATCGCAATTTTTTTCTTACAATCTGGGGACATAATCCAGGAATTTACGGTTCGATATGCGCAGATATCAAAAGAAACCGAGATCTTTGGGATATAAACACATGTTTTGAGTTTCATCAAAATCAGATAAAAATTGTTATCTCTAGAGGGTCCACAACCTTGATATTACATACTTTAACACTATTTGCATATAGGGAGTGACCATTTTGTCTGGCAGTTTCGGTCCGATTTTCACGAAATTCAATTTCGACCATCATTATGGTGTAACTCTGACAGATTCAAACGTTTTTTTTAAATCAGATAAAAATTGTGACCTCTAGAGGAACCACACGCTAAAAACGTGATTAACCGAGATAATTGGTTATAAACATATATTTCAAGTTTCATCAAAATTGGAAAAAAATTGACCTCTAGCAGAGTGTCCACAAGCTAAAAACGTGATTTTTCATACAATCAGGGACCATAATCCATGAAGATACGATCCGATACATGACAATATCAAAAGAAACCAAGATTTATCGGAGATAAACCTATATTTCATGTTTCGTCAAAATTGGATAAAAATTTTGACCTGTAGAGTGTCCACATGCAAATTGTGGACAGACAGGGGGGACGACAACATACATCCACATGAAAATGTGGGCGTATAACAATTAAAGGCCTTAAAGACTAGTATGTCATTTTGTAAACAAATACTTTTAGATAGGAAATTATGAAAGAAAAATTTATTTCTGTCATGAGTAAAAGATTTATTTATTTTATTTTTATACTCTTGGGGAAAACCATTAAAATAAACAATGGGTGTTATATTGTTAATAAACTTACATGCAGTTTCTGGCAGCTAAATCTCTATGAACAAACTTAAGGCCAGCTAAATATTCCATTCCCTTAGCTATATCTATACCGAACAGTATTAGATCTTTAATTGTGGGGTTCTGAAATAAAACACACCAATAACAAACCAAAAATAAAAATAAGCAAAACTTTAAAAAAAAGCAAATAAAACAAAATTATAAAAAATAAATAAACCCCAGTTAATTCTAGTAATAAAAATTAAAAGCAAATAAAACAAACAGCCAGACATTAAATACACTGTTACAAAGCTATATTTCTGTGAATACATGTAAAATATGTAACCTTAATGTGCTGGTTAAATTCAACACAAGATCACAGAATATGTATAATGACTACCACCAGAACTTTGTATGGGGGCTTTTTATAATTTGGGGGAGTCAGGAGCAACATTGGCATGTACCAAAAGTGATTAATGTTTGTGCACTGGCAAAGATATTAATAGCATAACGCTTCTAATTAAACCCAGAATTATGTTTTAATAGTAGAGGAACATTTTTGACCAATCAGAATGATCACAATTCCGGTGATTGCACTTCTCTCTTGGTTTTTTGTTGATGCATGTCAGTAAAAATAAATAATTTCTGTGGGTGCAATAATTATGTATAAATATAGTTTGCCAGGCAATGAAAACTATGCCCACAGCAGCTAAGTTATCCAAGCAGTCCAATAGGTTGTTGATTGTTTACTCATTTGTACTAACTTGTAGGTAATGGGAGCGTTTACAAGACACTGATCAAGAGTAACAAGTAATTATCAGAAAATGAAATGAAATGGGGTTTAACGTCCTACTGTTCTGCTCCAAACTGAGCTGATAAAGACGGGCATACGCCATACAGTGTGCTATGAGGAAATTTTGCCCGGACAGTGGCACTACAGCCTACTCTTATATTGAATTCCAACTGTCAGGGGATTTTTTTTTACGTTTACACCAATGTGTACACGGGACCTCGGTTTTCCGTCCCATCCGAATGACTAGACAGCTGTCCTTGCTTGTTAGGCCCTCCGTCCTGCATCATTGACAAGGGGGAACCACGCTGGAAAATCCTCTGCCAATGCAGGGATCAAACACCCGACCTCCAGGCTAGCGAGCCAGCATCTTACCCACTTAGCCACAGTGACCTCTAGTAATTATCAGATCTAATTCAAGATTGATTGGCTTGTAGTTGTTCCTAGAGCCAACATGTACTCGTAATCAGTTCTTTATTACTGATATTTTAACTAGAGTAAACTCCTTATCTGTATTAATGATGTCTTAACAAAATTTGTATTCTTAATCTTATAAATTCTTACATTAGTTTCATCTCTGATGTAGCTGAGTAAATCACCGTGTTCCATAAGCGGTAGAATAACAAGAGGCATGGCATCTAATCCAAGACATATCCCAATTAATTCTAGAACATTCTCATGATGAAAATCTTTCATTAATAGAGCCTCTTGGAGAAAAGCATTTAGCTCTATTTCACGAGGATTACTCTCTGAAAAACAAATTGTTGGAAAGTATGTTTTCAATATCCATACATCAATTCAAGTATTTACACATTCCACATGGCCAATACTTTGAAAGTTAATTAGAGCAAATGTTTGACAATACATTGGTCAGATTTGAACTTGTGAAATCAAGGACAATATAAAAACTGGTACAACAGATTAATTTGTTTGTCTACGATATCACCTTAGGTGGAAGTGGACGTAAAACACCAGAAACGAAAGAAAAAGATTAATTTGTCATGTGTGATCATACATATTTGAACCAACATCATCAAGTTTCTGTTAATTATAGAGTAAAAATGTAGCGTTTACTTACGATGTAAAGTTTTAACAGCAACCAATATATCTCCTTTTTGTTCAGACAATGTAAGAAACCCTTTATATACACAGCCAAAATTACCTACATAAAACACAATACAAATAATTCAAATACTGTACATATCAAAAACCATGTCCTGGATAGTCAATAAAATAGCAGAGAGATAACACAGGACTCTCACTACAACACCAGACTATTATTTTCACCTCATTGTTAAATCCATGCCATTTTTGGCCTATGACAGTTTTTCGAACATTTTGATGATCCTATCTTGATAATGACAAAGAGCTCAATGTGTCAAAAGCATCTGATAAAATATTATAGAAGGTAGTTGAGCATCTCATTTTCAATTTTATATCTACGCCAGGTTAAAGGCATCCATAGACTGTGACGTTATTTTCTTAATCGATTTCCCTAATTGTTCTTCTTATGCACTAATGGAAAATATAAGCAATATTTTTTAAAATTCCTCTATCGAATAATTTTGAAATTTAAATTCAATTATCTTTTTAGTGTGTTTAATCTTATAAAGGCAATAATTTAAAAAGACATTAAGGGTTGAGTGAATACTAGTGCTGGGTATTGCCACGGCAGTCATGATACAATACATATTGTAATTCAAGTACTATGATACGATTCGTATCATGATTCATAACCAGGTCAATATTTATCAAGAAAACAACAAGATAAATGAATAATTGATATTTTTAGTCCTGCCAATGTCGAAGAAATTAAACTGTTTTATATCCCGACATTGATGTAGATCAAAACAATGACCAAAACAATTTAAGAGTGTTTGTGTGGATAATGTGTGACGTAGATAATTAAGAGTGACAGGTTACTTACTGAAGCGACAAAAAAAAACATAATGCGAATAGTGGAGAGGTGAATCGCGATACATCAATTGAATGATATATTATGCCAACAATATATTGTGGTGCCAACAATATATCGTGCAAGCACTAGTCAATACTACATCCATAAGTGCTAGTTTTACCTTTGCCCAATATTTCAGTTTTAGTTAAATGTTCACTGTCTATAAGCAGATTTTCATTTGTTATTAAAGCTAACAGATCATCATCTATAAGGGTTGAAGGTGCAGCTGCAGCAATAGCATCTCTTTCTGTATAATCTGTAAACATAATATTTCTATATATGATTTTATGTTTAGTTTGTTAAAAGCAATGTTATAATGTAGCAAAGCGGAATTTTAATATGTTTATAGGTTTTATTATGTCAAGTAATATAGTGTATTGAGTGAGTGCACCTTTAAACTAACAAACTGACACTAATTTTAATTGCAACTGGTCTATAATAACATCTCTCCTTTAACTTGGCTTGTTAACCTGTACTGTTTTCTTAGAGCCCAAATCTTGGGGTGAGTACAATTCTACTCCCTTGGTTACAAGCAAGTTTTCTTTTTATCTGAACCTCACTTTAGACATCAGACATTAGATAGATTTCCAAGTGTAAGGACAATTTGATATCTTCAATCAAATTGTTTAACTTTATTTTCCAAATCTAGTTAGGTTATTTTTCAGAGAATTGTTCCAGTTATACTACTTCAGTATTACAGGTATGTGTGCTAATTCTCTTATTTTGGGTAATTGGGGTTTAGATGGAGCGGATGTAGGAATGATAGAAATTGTAATATTAAGCAACCATTTTATTTAAATAGATAGAAAATAACATGTACAGATCATTAGTTTTTCATATATACATATATATAGTAGATTATAAGGTACCGTTTTGAAAGTATATTGTATGTATAATCAGAATAATGTTATTTTCCAGAATATAGTTATCTGAAGATTTTGTTCACCATCTTGATAGTCTTATTTAAAAACCCCTTCTTTGGGTATGTTATCAATTACTTATATTATATTTAGTATAAACTTAAGGCCTGTTTAATATGTTTAATTTAATTAGTGATGTATTTTAGTGTATAAATTATTGATATATTTCATTGAGTACCAATATGCATGCCTTACTATTATTTTATTGTACTCAACTGTTACTGTGATATGTATATTAATTTTAACGTATATATATTTCAGGGTTTTTAATAAAGGTTTAAAAACTAACCACCTTAGTTTTTATTGAGAATTTACACCCCCCCGGTTACAATAAGAAAGCCACATAACATGGAAATATGCCCACTGTCGCCACATAGCAACAATGTCTCAACAGCAGCTTAATTGGATGTTGACCAAATTTGATATTTCAGAAAAGGAACTGATAGTCGCTGAATGCTGAATATCCTCCTCTCATGACCAAAATGCTTCACACCAAATTTGAAAAATATCTGTCAAAAACTGTAGCCACTGGCCAACTACGCACTCCCAAACTATGTGTGGGCATATAAAAATGCATTCTGCAGTTCTTTATAAGAAGATTTATGAAAACTATCAATTTTTAGCCATTTGTGTGTCCCTATACAAACAATCCACATTCCAACAAAATGAGAAATAAAAAAAAAAACTTACTGATTTGTCTGTTTTCTAGGTTAAAAGTATGTTCACCAGGTTGTGTTAAACTATCAATACCAATATGATCACCTTGTGTATATCTGATACTACGATCATCACGTGGGGGTTTAAAGAAACCAATACGTTTTTTCTTCATTATACATAATATAATGAAAACGGCTATACAGATTAAAGCTATTATTACACCCAGTATAACAAGTTTATATGTTGAAGCTGATGCTCCTGCTGTATATATGACAAATCCTATTTCATAATGAAGATTACCAACATGAACCTAAAATACACACAAATATCATACATAATTTCCTGACATAATAATCTCAAATTAAAAATCAATTGACCAGTTTGAATAATTTTTATTTTATCTGTTTCCATAATTAATTTTTTTTGGAAGAGATGTTAAAGGAGCACTCTTACATTTCATCTGATATGAAAACTTGAAATTTACGATTACAGTAAATGTAATAAAATAACCTTTTTACCCTGTCTGAACAGAGTTATTCAACTGTTTACATGTACTGAGAATTGTGATAAAGGCAACTCATCACTCCGGGAAGCTAACAGACATGGACTGTTATTCAGCCATTGTTGCAGCTGTCAGATTGGAACCTTGTCAATAATGATAATAAAAATGATTGTATTTTTTCAAAAGGTTCTCTCCGACAGCTGCATGGGATTATTCAGGGTTTTTTCACCAAAATATATCTGAGGCAGGTCATATTGTCATATCTATCATAACATCAAACTAACAGGGTTGATAATTAGTAGTTGCCAACTGGTCTGAGGCCATCATTTATATCTAAAGGAGGCAAAGGATTTTGAAATAGTATGCCGCTATCAATTGGAATTTGAGTATGGCTTATAAATAAGATATGGTGCTCACCACTTGATTAATATATAGAACAGCTGATACCACTTCACATTTGAGGCATTCAAATTTTTGAAATAAAATTTGGTATGGGTCAGTTGATAAATCAATAATTTGACCATTGCAATTTTAGGTTAATGAAACTGTACTAACCTCTACTTTTCTCTTGGGTTCATTTTCACTTATAGATGTTGGTTTATTACTCGGAATACATTTAATATTAGTTTCTTCTAAATCTTTTACTTTACACATATCATCTCCTACAATAACTTTTATATCTGTCTGTGTAAAACCTAATCCTATATTATCACCCTGTAAATAATTATATCCTTTATCTAAGTAAAACTGTAAATCTATATATAACAAATATAGTTTACTCCCAGGAAGTCTCTGTTAGGGTCCATAGAAGATTAAGAACAAATATTCTCTTGTTTACCCAATACATGTAACCCCCAACAGATAACTAACAACCCCCTCACAAAAGCTGCAAACCAAGTTATGCATTTGCCATTCTGAATGATATTACAAATTGAAAGATAGGTTGCCAGGCATGGAAACATTTACCTACAGCAGGTAAATCGACCAAGCAGTCCACAAAGGTTGTCACACTGTTGATCTTCAGGTAAATAGAAAGCAAATTCTTTAAACTGATAATATCATTTCAATGTTGACAAATTTTCTATGATATAATCAAGTGTAATAACTCTATAGGCAATTATCAAAATGTGTTGCAATATAATTCTTCTCATTGCACTAATCTGAACATAAATTTCAAGCAGACTGAATGTCAGCTATTGTTGCCAATAGACTGCTCACAACATTCCACAAAGTGATCAGAGATAATAACTCTAAAAGTTATCAGAAACTATTGCAATTCAGTCAGATGATCAATGTAATCTGTAAGAATAATGATGACTTGATAGACAAATGATACAGTGAGCGAACAAGTAAAAAAATAATTGAACACTTTTCTACAATATTAATTGGTAGTAGTGAATAAATTTTAGACGAATCAACAGAAGACAATAATTATCCTCATTGTAAAAACACTTTACACCAAAAGTAACAACACTTTTTTAAGCATTTAGGGAATATCACTGGAATTTTTCATAATCTATATGGGTTTTATATTCTACTCTATGATGCCGTTTCTATGTTGTATGATATAATCATATGGAAGTGGTTAACAGGCAACAATATTTAACACTAAGTTTCAACTTACTTCAATGAGAAGATTTGATTGTAAAATATCAAACTCTAAAACATTCCAGTCTCCACGAAATTTATCAAACACTGGATCTGGATAATATGTAAGACTGCTTAATTTTCCCTGTGTTTGATGAAAGTTGCGTAAATTTTCCACACCATCCATAATAAACCACAAATTGACTTCCACTGGATCTGTTTTCTCTGCATTGGTGATGACAGAACTAAAATCAAGAGCTGGACAAATCATAGCTTCTCCTCCTTCCGTAACATTACAAAGCTACAAATACAATACTAAAGTTACAATATAAACATAACATGTAGAATATAGCAGAGAAATAATGCATTGATGATTATAAAGGTCAAATTCTATATAAAATGTGTATTTATTCAGATAGTTTCATTACAAATACAGCACATACAATTAATTTTTAGGAAGAAAAACCACTAGTTTTAATTAAATGCATTTATATAATTGATCACTGTCATTTTCCTGTTGTGTCAATGGCAATTAAGTTCACCTTTATGTGGACCTATATTATTATAGTTTCCTTTTTAACATTAGGAGTACTGCACTACATGCAAAACAAAACCAACAAGACAAGACAGACATTACAAGAAATAAACAACAAATATCAAATCAAGTGAATGGATTGTTGTTTCTTTTTTATCTAATGTATGTATATTGTATCAGGATTATATTGTAATAAACTATAACACATACTTATGGAAGAACAATTACTGATTTATTTGGGCGACGTTTCGAAGAGTATTCTCTCAACGTTTTCAAGCAAGTCTTGAAAACGTTGAGAGAATACTCTTCGAAACGTCGCCCAAATAAATCAGTAATTGTTCTTCCATAAGTATGTGTTATAGTTTATTGCTCTATCCAGTTACTAAATGCCTCTAAAAGATGATTATATTGTAACTTTAAGTGCAGTTGAATTTTCGGCAGATTATCAAATAACTTAAATCATTATTTTTATTATATGAAAGGACTGTTGAGAGTCCTATAGACCCTTGACACTTAAAACAATATATGTAGTGACTCGTTAAGTCTGAGGATTTAAAAAATATTTTTTTAATATGTGAAAACAAGAAATCATGTTGGTGCCTCTGAAGAAAGTCAAAATTTTAAATTGTCCATTCCAGCAGATCAGACAGTCAGATGATAGCCTGAATTGATGACATAACTTGATAAATGGTTTGATAAAATAAAGTGTTACTACATTACCTCTTGTTGTGTTAAGTCTTTCCCATCTAACGAACCTCCTATATACGGTCTAGCTACTGAATCCAAGTTAGATCCTCTCACAGTTATTGGTATACCACCACTACATGTATAGAAAATATATAATAAAATCACTATCCAAATTCAATACACCCATTCCAAGTGTATTTGGTTACATATTGATGACGACAACATTTTATAGAATTACAGAGAAACTATCACTCTCGCCAAAAAAACAATTGAATAAATTTAGAATAGCATCATACAGTAGTCATTCACACAGAATTGACACTAGATTTTAAACACTTTTCCAGACTAAAATCTTACCTAACAAAAGATTGACGTGGTAAAATATGATCAATTGTCGGGTTTTCTAAGTAGAAAAAGTCAGTTCCTCCATTTTCATCAATACTTAAGGTAGCATTATCAATTTTTACCAATAGTGGACCATATCCTTTAGCTCTATTTATAAATCTTTTTCTTCTTGATGATATGGAACCAGATGTTTCTGGCCAAGGAACAGTTGTACAGTCAATCTGTGTACTAGTTAAACTAAATAAAACACAGAAAAATATTCTTCTTATTAAAGAGTTTTTACATTTAACTAATCAAAACATAATTACTGGTATGTTTTTATATAGGGTTGGTCATAAGTCCTTAACTGCACATTATCTAAGTGCTAGATAGTCATATCTATATATCTGCCAAGATTATAGTGGTAAATGATTGAACAACAATTTGTAAATGACTTGATTTAAAGCTTCCAAACAAGTTAATTGGACTATTTCTTCACATTTTGGTATTTGCTTTATTCATACCCATTTCTATGAACCAATACAATACAAAATCTGAGACGACTTCTATAAACAACTTTTCATTCTTGCACATAGAAATAACTACCAGACTATTTCATCCATTGTCAAGCTTACCCTCAGATAAACAGTTGGATAACCAATGTTAATACTCCATGTGTTTTAAGGTCTCTACCAGTGATGGGATTTTGCCCGTATATTCCGGACTTGTCCGAATCTTTTTTCCAAACGCCCCAAATTGTCCGACCGGGAATATGCCCAATCGGACATCAAGACATGGTGAATAATATTCAAAATTCCGAAATTAATATAGTTTACTGAGTGTATAAGTACCACTCAACCAGATTATCGTCGATAATACGCTGGATTGATTAGGTAATTAAGTGATCAACGTATTTATCGTGTTATACGGCCTATAAACCTACTCTGATTAACTACTTAATCTGCCTTGATTGACTGACTTAATCCTTTGTCGGACAATTCATCAATCTAATCTTAAACAGAAGCCATTGTTTCCCCTTTGTCGGACTATTCATCAATCCATTATAATTTTAATCTTCGTGTTGGAAGAGAGCGTTAAATAAAGCTATTTCACACACACACACACACACACACACACACATATCCGAAAAATACTAGACATCGCTAGCACGCGTTTACAGCACTCGGTAAACCTCGGCAGATTCCGTTACTTTACATCTAGCTTCGGCTGTATGACGGTAAGTGATATGTACCTACGAACTTGCCGGTTTTAGTAAGAAGTTATCAAAATTGCGTCGTTCGAAGCGTGTTCAGAATTTTCAAAGCAAAATTGCCGGTTTTAGTAAGAAGTTATCAAAATTGCGTTGTTCGAAGCGTGTTCAGAATTTTCAAAGCAAAGTTGTCCTTGTTTGAAGAAAATCTGATTAGGTACATATCACTTACCGTCATACAGCCTAGGTTTGCCGAGTGCTGAACCGGTATTATGAAATGAATACGTGACTAAATTTACGCTTCTAATGTCGAAGAAAAGATTCTATTTTGATGGCCCATTCTCGGATTTATGATCATATTTTGAATGGGGTTTATGTTTTTAAACAAAGAAATAAGTAATCTAGGCAATGTTGACGAATATGTCGATTGGAATAGTGTAAGTACTTAATTGTTTTAGACGATAGCGCGTGCTAGAGTAGAATGCGATTGTTTAGTGGATGGTGTCATTCCTCGTTGTGGTATAGTGAAGTTTATTGCCCCAAAAATTTCAGGATATCATATTCTCCTCTGCTGAAAAATGTAGCGACTTATGACCCGAAAATACGGTAATTTTGGAGGAATTTGAAACAGTACAGATCAGCAGTAGTCGGCACGCTTTCATTCTATCGTATTACGAATATTGTAGGAATATTACTGACATAAATTTGAATACCGTACGGGAATTAAATATGAAAAATAACGAGGTGCACCTATTTTTATATTACGGACAGATTTGAATATTTTGTTTACACGTGATTTTTGTGTGTGGTCTAATAACTGCCATCTTAAATAACGATAAGAGTTATGTCCCTTTATTTTTGGTAAACATGTCCGACAAGAAAAGTTTTGAAATCCCATCACTGGTCTCTACCACTAAATATCCAAATTATTGAGAAATTCAGCTATGACCATTTTAAAGTATAATTGGCTTACTGCACTCACTTGAAAATGATACAAATAAAATTATCAGCAACAGACACATTTGGCAATCCTCCTATATTCAAATTATCTCCCTTGATCCTTATGTTAGTCCCTCCTGCTACAGGCCCTCGTTTTGGTTGAAAAGACTCTATTTTTGGTTCCTGGAAAATAATGAACAATTAAAGTTTTGAGGAAAATTCAGAATGTGTATATCAAAAAATCATTATTGGGGAATTTGGGGCTTACAAATTATTAATAGTGGTATATCAAGAGATTAAGTCTTATTAAGCCAGACCTCTCGCAATCAAAACACTACTTCTTTCACTGCCTTGCCCACAAGTATTGGAATCATTGTAGTAATAGCAAGAGGTTACTGCATGGGTCATGGATCAATCACTGCAATTTAATGTTTAAACAAGAACATATTTGAATTTATTTTCAGCATTATATGATTTACAGTCAATGAAACAGTTATTTTGAAGGGTAAATGTTTTATTACCTGATAAGAGAAATATTGTTCAGAGTAATCAGTGCCTTCTACATGGTAGCTTCTACCAAACATGGTACTACCTGTAACTGTTATCTGTACTGGTCTCTGTTGTACAGGAGCAGGACCAGTTCGACATATTAACCTATTTAAAAATTTATATTATCAGTAAAAACACTTAAGTCTAAAAAGTCAAATGCTGAAAATAAAATACCAGAAGTTGCTCCAAAGAAAGAGCCTGTTATCATGTGATGTAAAACATAGACGGTGGATCCTCACGAAGGCTGGAAAAGTCATCACAGTATTCAGATTTAACAGTAAGTCAAAAGAGTAATAAATTTATTTAAAAAGGTTATTTAAGAAGTAAATCTCAAAAACTAACACTGATATGTTTACATTGACAGGGGCTATAAAATGTCAATAAAATAATATGCTAAACAATCTTAAAAATATAAGAAAACTCTGTGAATGGTTTACTAGATTTAGAAGACAGTGACAAAAGATTTATGTGTGACTGATTTGCATTAAGGAGTCTCCTCATGACTAGCCAAACACGCCAGTGATGCTAATGTGCCCCACCTTAATCCCAAAATAAATAAATGACACATTAATTAATTGCATATTTTTTTTTGTTTAGTTTTGAGCAATAAACTTAGATAAAGCAGAATGGTTTTGATGTAGTGAAACTATACCAAGTATCATCACTCTCCCTCAATTTGAATTTACGTTATTGTGTCTAGAAGCATCAACCAATCAAATTGCTCATGTTAATCATCAAGTCATGACATTACCTTAATGAACATCTACACAAACAGCCCGTTCAGACACTTATTTTTAAACCAGTTCATAATCACCGGGGTTTTTAGATAAGATAAGATAAGATAAGATTTTATTGCATCGAAACATCCATTTAGAACAGCATACAATATAAACGTGTACATAAAGATTATAACGATATGACAATTATTACACAAGACACACAATATTGCATCGGAACCTCCCTTGAGGACAACATACAATATACAAAATATACAGGTGCAAAAAAATGGACGGATACACAAATATGGACGGACATAAATTTAAAGCACTCATAAATAAACAGTATGAAACCTGCATATGGAACAAAATGTACAAAGTATTAAATCACATAACTCGACAGTATAAGACCCACATACAGGGTACATAATATATCAAAATACAAAACAAAGCGTGCGGCACATAAAAGAAAATAAAAATCATGCATATTTAACAGATGTCTCTCCTAAGAAAAGAGAAGTAGACAAAGGCTGCGACACTTGTGGCTATAATACTCGGTGGGTCGAATAGGTTTTCAAATGAAAAGGTTAGACCAGTATTGTCAAGGGTTTGATATATATATTGTTTTCTTAAATCTTCATAATTTTGGCATTCCATAAGAAAATGTTTTTCAGATTCAATTTTGCCTGCATTGCATTTTTTACAGAAACGATCCTGGAGTGGTATCTTAAGATACTACCCCTTTCAATGGCAAGCTGGTGAGTACTTAATCGTAGGGTAGACATCGCAATTTTGAACTTCTTATTATTAACAACCTCTAGATATTTTGGAGTGTTATTGAATTTCTTTTTGAATAATCCGAAGGTTCTGAGTTTATGGTTCGGCCCGCAAGATTCAGCAAGGAGATCGTTAAACTTACTTTCTATTGAACTTTTAATATTCTGTCTCGAAATTGTTGTTGGAGGAATGTCATATTTTTTGAAGATATTTTGGATAGCCGCATACCAGGAGAGTTTTGGGTTTGATTGCGAAATTTTTATGTCTTCCTGGTATGCAGAATTCAGTAATGAGTTACTTAAGTTATTGCTATTTTCGTTTAGTCTTTTATAGTACATAGCCATTCTTTGGAATATATCGATATTAACAGGAAAAATTCCTAATTCGGCCAAGCAGCCTATATTTGATGATTTTAATGGCTGTGTAAGAATAGATTTACATATTTTAATGGTCATTTTATTCGTATTTATTTTATCCCAATTTTCTATCTCAAAGTTCTTACTGAACACTAAATTATCCCCCCAAACCTCTGAACCATATAAAGCTATTTGTTTCACGACTGATTCATAAAGTTTTATCAGAACATGTGTTGGAAGGCGATTAGATGTACAGACTTTATGTCTTAAGCCAAACCGAGCTCTCCTAGCCTTCTTTTCAAAATTCACAATAGCTGATTTAAAAGATCCGTTATCATTTATGAAAATGCCTAGGTAAAGATAAGATTTTACAATATCTAAATTGACGTGGCCAAAGACAAATTTTTTTTTTTTTTTTTCTTATTGTTTTTAAAGATCATAACTTTGCTTTTATCTTTATTGAGGTCAAGTTTCCAGTCATCACAGAAACGTTTTAGATTATCAAGGTTGTTCTGTAAACCTATTTCGGTAGCTGACATCAGCACAAGATCGTCAGCAAAGAGCAGATGGGATAGACCAGTAGTATTTAATATAGGATAATTATCACTGTCTGTAGAATTGTCTAAGTATTGGTTTAAATCATTGATGTAAATATTAAAAAATGTAGGACTTAAAACACATCCTTGCTTAACTCCCATGGTAGAATCAATATTATTTGAAATGGAGTTGTTGTGTTTTACCACATAGGATGTATTTTTATACATAGATTTAATCAATTCAAATATTTTCCCGTTAATGTCATGTTTCAATAATTTAAGAAGGAGACCTTTGCGCCAAACTGAATCAAATGCTTTTGAGAAATCGACAAAGCATAAATATAGAGGTTTCTTAAGTTTCTTGTATTTGTTGATTAAAGTCTTAAGAATGAAAACATTATCCACCGTCCTACGGCCCGCTCGGAATCCGCTTTGTGCTTGGTCAAAAAGGTTATTATATTCAATATATTTAGATATACGGTTATTTAAAATGGATAAAAAGCATTTACTCAAGCAGCTGGCTAGCACAATTCCGCGATAGTTACAAGCGTCCTCTATGCTCCCCTTCTTATGTATTGGGACTATGAACGATTCGCGCCACTGTTCGGGAAAGCTCCCAGATTCAAGAATTAGATTGAAGAATTTTATATACACATCAATCATGTACTCACATGATGCAAGAAGCATCTCATTTAGTATTAAGTCGGGCCCACTAGACTTATTCCTCTTTAGTCCCGTAAAAGCTTTTCGAACTTCAATTGCAGTTATCTTTGAGTTTATTTCCTTATTAGTTTTGTTTGATTCTAGAAGTAAATTGATAGCATCATCTGTTTCTTCACATTGTTTGTTTGACATGGTTTTATCTTCGAAAAGAGTTTTAAAGTGTCTTTCCCAACTATCAATGGATATGCCCTCATTCTTATCATCCCCGGGGTTTTCTTTAATTAACGAGTTTATTAGTTTCCAGTATTCTTTCGGGTTTTGACTCTGAATTTCATTAAGTTTTTCTAAAATACTATTTTGGCTTGGCGACTTTTAAATTTGGTAATTCTCTTGTACAGTTTTTTCCTACTATAGTAAATCTTTCTTAATATATTGTCAGTTGGGTTATCGTTTAGTTTAATTTGTGCGGTCATCATATCATGTCTTAATCGTTCGCAATCACGGTCAAACCATTTATTTTTTTTTGCCGTTTCTTTATGGTTACTAATTTAACACAGGCCCTACTGGCATTACAGCATTGTGTTGCGTTCACACGTACTATAAGCCAAACCAGTTTAACTATTCTGACCTCTCCGGTCGGAGGTTAGAGTTAACTAGCATGGGTAGCTTCGTATTCTTTATTCAGCTCTAGCACGCTTTCGATAACATTGGCACTGTCTGACCCCAATATTTTCACAGGAATGTAACTTACTGCGTACAGCGCATGCTCAAAGCAAGCTGGAGCAGGTTTTTTTTAAGCCAACCCGTTCAAATGGCTAAGATGAACCAGTTTAAAATAAAAAGCCTTCTCGAAGACAGGTCATGAGCTGAAGATTTTAAACTGGTTTATTTGCCCCATATTTGCGTTCAGACGCTTAAGTTAAACTGGTTTAACGATCCCTGGGGTTTTTAAACTAGGGCCCTGTTTCTCGAAATCTTAACTGAAGATAAAATCCAAATTTAAGTAGATACTTCAATTTTGATTGGCTAAGCGCTAAAATCAATCTAATATTATCCAATCAAATTACTAAAATTTGGATTTTATCTTTGTTAAAATCTCGTGAAACAGGCCCCAGTTCAACTTAAGCGTCTGAACGGCATATAAGTGTGAAAATTCTACCTCAATTAAAAGCAGAGTTATTGTGTTCCAAAGTCTTAACCAATCAAATCAAAGCATTAGCAGAAAATTCCCACAATCAAACTTAGTCATAGTGAATGATATACTGGTAATATGGTATTTTATAAAGTGAAACTTCCTTACCATGTTGAATTCCAATTTTCAATGTCACATTTTATTTTAGAAATTTCAACAGTCAGACTGGCTTTATCTTTTAATATTGCGCTTCCAAAATTTTGACCAGTCAAAGTCAATAAAGTTCCACCTTGAGTTGGACCATTTAGAGGATTAATCTAGAAAATAAATGAAATGGTCTACAATCCTTGTCCTATAAAGTTTACACTGTACGTAGGCAATCATCTCAGGGTCAACACTTCTCTATCTTGTGTCTAGTCTGATAGGTTTATTTATGGGAACAATACACATAATCTGAATGCCAGTGTCCCTCTCCTTCGCTCTATTATCTATAGCACTAATGTATTTAGAAAGATGTGCATTCCCGTAATAAGAAAACAACTGTTTTAAATCTTTATCCTAGTCCTGTACAACTATGTAAAGCACTGTGAAGAAATTATTTAGTTCCCCAATATCATGTTGTGTAAGTGCCTGGATAACCATGTATATATATAGCCTATACTCGCGTAGTTATATTGTAAGTGATCGTCTTGATGATCAAGTCACTCGTAAATTGGAAGAATGAAATTCTTTAAATGGTTTACTAACCCCAAAAAGCTAACATTGTGAAAAGTTAAACATTTTAATTTCAAATTTGCATACAAATCTCGGATCACAGTTTTAAAGTGTTACTAATTTATGTGTCAAATACTTACAGAATGAAGAGAAGGTGGACATTGATTACGATTAAAATCATTAACACATTCATTGTATGTTGTACACTTTCCCCTACACCAGCCACATCTCAGAGGATCTGAACTTGATAAACATGAATCACAATCACTATGTACTCCACATGAATCTAAGGAAAACTTTATAACCTAAAACAAAAGATTAAAACAAGTTTAAAACATGAAAGTCATTCACTTGAAAAGAATCCATTAACCATTATATATTTGATCATACAGCATAAGATAACGGATCCTTGATCAAAGTAACAATTCTATTTATTTATACAGGGTTCATATTGGAAACTGTTGATGTCAAGGCGACTACAGTTCGGTTGATTTATTTGAAAAGATACTGCTATGAAACTATAAAAATTGGTCAATTTTTTCTTTGAAAATTCTGATAAATTGTTAGCTCTTTGGGAAGCATTAATCATATCGCTTACCCTGTTTGTGTATTGTACGTTTTTATAATAGCTAGCAGATAATTTATAATGTCTGAATACTTTCTGAAAGATCATGTAACTTGTTAGATGTTAGTTTTTAATAGGCCATTTTTTTTATGATAGTCGAATTATGATATCAATTTGAAGACAAACATATTGACAAGATACTGCAGTCAAGAAAATACAGAGGGCAATTTTGGTATAAAACACGACTTAGGGAAGTAAAAAGACCCCAATGGATAGTTCAGAATCTTTTGCCTCAAGATCTTGTACGAAATTTTCATGGCACAAAAACCCAAAAAGGACTGGTAAAGAAAATGGCAAAGAAAACGAGAAATAATTAATCTCTTCCCCATCCCCCCCCCCCCCCTCAAACTTCAAGTTACCCCTGATGATGTGGTGCCAAGAATTCGTCATCCGCAAGCTAAATTGTGAATCGTAAAAGGCGATTAAAATTTGCAATAAGGAAAGAGATCTGAGTTTTTTTTGTTATTTTTATTTTAACACATATCATATATTGGCTTACATAGAGGTATATAGAGTCAAATGGCCTAGCTAACCAAATGATTCAACATACAGAAATGCGTATATATCATTGGTGACGATCAGTGTTATATAAGTACTATAACAAAATTATTTTTTGTAAAACAACATTGATCTCATTCCTTCAAACAAACTGCCTATGGGCAAGTCCTTTCACTTTTAAAAATATATTTTTCTGTTTGTCTAAATAATGGATAAATATAATGCAAGTATAATAGCAGTTCTACTAAAGGAACACTGACCAATAAATGATGGCTCATATGAATTAATAAATTTGAACTAAACAAAATTTCCTCAGCTATTATTTATTTTAGAAACTCTCTCATATGTCAACAAGCTTGATAACTTTCTGTATTAATTATGAAGCCTAAAATACTTAAAAGCCTGTACATAGCAGATAAAGAATCATCTATAAAGTATGTACATATAATGTTCTGTTTCCTGAGCCAAGCAAACAAAGGTTTGAGAATTTTTGTAAAGATACATGTATGTGTAACTGAAGAAAGACCAAAAGGTAAACATGTAAACACATAAACTTGATCTCGCCATTTGAAACGTAGATATATTCGATGATCAAGACAAACAGGAATCGAAAAATAAGTCTCTTTAATATCAATGGATGTTAAAAAATCGTTCTGTTAAATAGCCTTAGGGCAATTGCAAGTGTTTCCTGCTTAAACAGTTTTTTTTGTTTTTTTTTTATTAATAATAATAATAATATAACTGTATGCTGATGATACAGAATCGATGGCTTTCTTAAATATCATTTAAATGACTTCCTCATCCATTAAAGACATCTGTTTATGATTAAAAGGCAGGCTATTTGGAAAAGCCTTCAGAATAAAATGAGTTGAATTAAAGTCAATCTTATAATCACTAACGATATTTACTGATCTGAGGTAATAGTGGCCCAGTAATATATAAATTTGTCCAGCATAAAATATTTATTACTTTCCAATGTCTAGTGGTAGTTTTGGCGAGGTAATCTGCCTCTCGCTCTGCTCCAGTTGGAGATGACAGCCCTTGAAGGGCCTGCCGGAACAATCCTGCCAGACAAAGTGTCAACAACAGGCCTTGTTGTTAAATATATTGGGTGCTACCTTTTGCTGCGATATTTCCAAAGAAATAATCTATGCTTCAGAGATAACTCTAAATGGGCCTTACCTAAGGTTATGATAGAATCTACAATAGAGGACTACCTCAGGGTCAATATTTTTATTAAAAAGAGGTATCAGAGGGCATAAACCCAGACATAACAGTTTTAGAACCTCCTGAAGATAACAATCCTGAGCCGCTTAGGGCAGGGCATGACAAATATCCTGGTCCAACAAAGGTGGCAACAATCTCTTGCATTTAACTGATAGAGGATAGTAGAATGTCAATTACTTTTTCTCGACCCTTTTTATTGGTACCTTGGTTGATCACAGAATCATTAAAGACATCATCACCCTAAAAGATTTGGGGGATGTCAAACTTAGTTTCTTGTCTTTACTCCATGAATTCATCATACAAACTTTGAGGATCCATGATATCTAAACCTGATCCATTATTAGTTACTGGTACTTAAAATGTTATTGTATACTTTTTATCTTCATGATGTACTGATACCGCATCTTCAAAATCATGTGATGCAGGTCTATTAGACGACCTAACAGACTGATGAACATCAATTACCATCAAGACTTTGATTTTAAGATGGATTGTTATATTAAATCAGTGAAGATTGGACATCAAGGAAACCTGGTTTTGAAGAAACTTAAATTCATTTTTATCTACTAAAATGCCACCACCTGGAAATATTACTTGCATTATGATTTAAGCCTATAGCAGTGGCCGTTACGGCTCATTTTGTCGTAACGACATTATTTGTTGCAGGCTTATTAATAACAACCTTTTTATTAGATCTACATATATACTTATTATTACTACTGGTATAAGGGTAACCCTCTTTACTATTGTTAATATTATGTTAATAATCAGTACCAGTAATAATGCAAAATAATATTACTTGCACTATGAATATGATTCAAGCCTATAGCAGGGGCCGTAACAGCTCATTTTGTAGTAACAACATTTTTTGTTGCAGGCTTCTTAATAACAACCTTTTTATTAGATCTACTTATATACTTATTATTACTAATAGTATAAGGGTAACCCTCCTTATTATTGTTAATATTATGTTAATAATCAGTACCGGTAATAATGCAAATTAATATTACTTTCACTATGATTCAAGCCTATACTATAGCAGGGGCCATAACGGCTCATTTTGTCGTAACGACATTATTTGTTGCAGGATTATTAATAACAACCTTTTTATTTGATCTACTTATATACTTATTATTACTACTAATATTACTACTAATATTTAATATTATGTTAATAATCAGTACCGGTAATATAATGTTAACATTACGATCATCATTAATTATTTTTTTTTTTCATTATGAACATGATCATATATCAATCAAATTATGTCAACACAACACAATTGAATTGGATAAAGTTACAAACCAACTATATTATTGGCGTTCAATTCTCGTTTAAGAGATTTAAAGGCCTTTACAGACCTTTTAGCGGAAAAAATCCCGTTATTACGCTCGTTTTTACCTATGGCATGTATCTATTTGAACTGAATTTGTTGATATATGGCATTGCTGATTCTTAATATTAAATTTGTATGCTGGTAAAATCTCTTTTGAGATTATTAATTATGATAAAACTGTCTTGTTCTACAAGGTTTTCATATAACTGATGAGTGTAAAATCTTGTCACCACAATGTTTTGGGCAATTTTTAACTTTTATATAAATCTACTTACCTCAACATAACTTCTGTTTGTCATAACAATTTCTATTTTGGGTTCAGATATAACATCTAAATTAGTTCCTGTTTCTGTAACTTTCGTACCACCACTGGATAAATAAATACTTCATTTAATCATAATATTTTTCAAAGTCTCAACCTATGTGGTAGTTATTTTTGAATAATGCGAAATGAAGTAAATGGTGAAGATTCAAACTAGAACTACTAATACAGAAACTTATTTAGAATTGAAGATTTCTACTGAATATTTTTTCAATTGTATGTTTGGTTTACGCATGTCTACAGGTAATCATTGGGTAGTTGTAATTGGTATCGAATATATTTCAAAAGATTTAGATAATTTTCTGTATCAAAGATTTTGATTGGTAGGTTGATCTAGAACCAACCAATCACAATAGTATCAATAATACAGTTAATCCTGAACTGGAAGAGAAATATAAAATACATATACATGATTAGACCATAAAATGATAATACCTTTTAATACTTCTTAACGAACCTAAATCAGTAATGGTTGGATCTTCCATGTAACAGAATTCTTCTTTTGTAGTTAGTGTACCACCATTAATAGTTATTTTTAGTTTACTACAAACAATATCTTCCCTTTTGTAACTTACATTATCCATCCTCTCAAATCTTCCTGTTTTACATAGTAGGCCTACCTTATTTTTCCTGTTAAAATAAAACAATCAATAATCTTTTAAAATATTGCAAAATGATATTGTAAGAATAAAACAAGCGGTTGCCACGTAAGATATGCCTACATTTTGCAAGAGATGGACAGAGAACAAGCTAAAAAAAAGTTACGGTGCGATAAGTGCAAGTCTTGAGAGGAACCTAAATTTCTGGGGCATAAACATATATTTCCAGTTTCATAAAGTTTGTGACCTTATATAAGAGGGTCCAAAACCTTTTACACTATTTGCTTACAAGGAGCGGCCATTTTATCAAACAGTTTGTGTACAATTTTCACAAAATTTTGACTCAACCATTATTATGTTGTAGTGGTGATATGTTTGAACGTGTTTTTAAATCAGATAAAAATTTTGATCTCTAGACGGTTCACAAGCTAAAATCAGGATTTTTTGTAGAACCAGGGGCCATAATCCAGGATGCTTTGGTCCGATATGTACTAATATTGAAAGGAACTGAGATCTTTGGGACATAACCATATATTTTAAGTTTCATCAAAATTAGATCAAAATTGTGACCTCTAGAGTGTCCACAGGCTAAAAATGTGACTTTTTGTGCAATCAGGGGCCATAATCATAAAGTTACGTTCCGAACATGCCAATTTCGAAAGGAACCAAGAGCTTTAGGCGACAAACCTACATTTCAAGTTTTGGCAAAATCAGATAAAAATTGTGACCTGTAGAATGTGCAAAAACAAATTGTGGCCGGACGGACAGGGCGACGACACTAGAAGTGACATCTTTTACAGCAACATTGAAATTTACTTAAAATCTTATAAATTTCATTAATGCATAAACTATAAATTAAAAGTCTCTAAGAATAACGATGAACCGGTACTAATATTTTGAGGTAGATTGTTCTAATCAGTCTGAAGAGTTCAATACGAATGAAACTAGTCACTGACACGTGGGGCGATAACCATGTCTTCACAGCCACTCTTATCTCTTATTTTGAGTGCCCAAATAATATTATATTATGATCTTAATGTGAAAGTTCTCTTGAGATCTCACTGCTGCAATCTCTGTGATTGTTAATCTTATTTTGTATATTTGATTACCAAGGCAGTATTTGTTGAATACATTTAGAGTGAGTCCACTAAATTAATGGTTTGATTTGCCTAATTTAGCATAGAATTATACTGATGTCATTCCATTGGCGGTCTCATTCCACTGGTGTTGGTCTAGTGTATCCAGTGTGCTTTGAACGCAGAGGCGCCATGTTTGTTAGCGAAGAAGAAGTTTTTCGTAGTGTGGTTAAAAGCGGTTGGAGGGCATAAAAAAACGGTATCATTATTTCTTTTGTTATATCTAATTCTATAAGCCATCAGTGGCACCAACTATTCTGATTATGTCAAAACATAGTGTAATTTGTATTCAATTCGTTTGTAAAGCTGGTATAGTTGTTTGTACATAAAACCTGCTCGCCGATTTCCAGACCTTGTTGAATTACATAGTATTTAAAGTTTAAAAACCTTACTACTTTATGGAATCAATGACAAATCTAAACCATTTTTACTTTTGTTGAACAGTAGCATGCATTAACCGCAGCTGAAATATTTGGTACTATTCCTTCAAAATAAACAATATTAAACCAATTCTTCTGTAAAAGATATTTGACAAACAGATAACAGAACCTTTATATATATGTATTTCCTATCTACACACAAATCTCTACATATCATATTTTTATAATATTCACTTACTGTAAAATATTACATGAGATATTATAAATTTCCACACTAATATCACTTTTATCATTTACTACCAGATCTAGTCCTGTAATAGTAATTTTTGTTCCACCTGATTCAGGACCATGAACAGGTTTAAAAGATGGTGTCACTTCCTGTAACATAATAATAATAATAAATCATTAATGATAACTATAGTAGCATTATCAGATTCCAGTCCACCAGAAGTTGTTCTGAAGTGTCCTCATAGGATCTCAACCAGGGCTTCCACTTCAAAATTTTTACTGGCGGTCATTTTTGATAATGCATGGAAAATATTTCATGTTTTTTATTTATGATACGTATCATGAATTCATGCGTCTATACCAATTTACAATGTAGAAGTTGGACTACGAAATAAAATATTAGTAAGGCCTATAATAATTATTTATTAACAAAATATTCCCTTTTGGCTATTAAATAGGTTTTATTATCAAAATAAAATCATTCCAACATAGCCAACAATTAGAAAGCACACTGAACTTGCTGATCATGATGGATCTGGCAAAGTCAATATACAACCACATTTCAATGTGGGTGTATAAAAACAAAACTCAAAACTACAAAATATTTAAAAGTCGGATTATACAACTAATACATGTATATTTACCACATATTCAAATTTTACTCGACTTTTGGAAGATCCACTGATTCTGTAATCTGATCTATGTTCAGAAACATTTACTTTTACAGTACAAGTATCATTTTTATTCACAGCGTTTAGTTTACACACTATAATGCTGAAATATATAACAATTTAAAAATTCACATATATCACAGAATTTTATCTACAATATTGAAATATATTGTTTAATGTATTAAAAGAGATAGTAAGATAAAAGCGTTAGTTCTGGGCCTGTATTAAAAGGAAGTCTTAAGACGAAGTTAGTCACTTAATTCACTGAGAACTGAGTAGAGGGTGATCTGTACGTGGATGCAATAGAAATCTGTCTAGGATGTTGTCTGTACATCTATTGAAAGAAAATTAATTTCCCGATTAGTACTAGGCATTACCACATTAAAATTGTAAATAAGGTGCATTAATTAACAAGGTGGAGAAATTGATTGAGAGGTGAGTTAATTAACACTAGGGGTGATATGTCTTTAGATAGCCGTGTGTGTTTGCTATATGATCGACGTTTCTCTCATGCGTCTCTTGTATTGCATACCATAGTCACGTTACTTATATATAAAGTTGCATTTATTGAAATAAAAGTATGGACCTTAATATATCGTAGGGAAAGGCGAATGTAATGTCGTCATTAATAAATACCCAGCAGTCAGAGCCCAATTTGTATATGCCCGGGTATATAGAGAGTAAATCCAGCAAAATCCAGAAATAATTTACTGCTACATAAATATAACTAAAGACTCGCATAAAATAGAAATTTCCATATTGATAAAAAATACGACACAACTAACCCAAAAGTGGTAATTCACACACAAATGATATATTTAACCTAAAATTACTATAGCCTTTCACTAAATTTAAGGCTTATTTTATATATAACGTTGTTTAGACCATGATGCGTTGTCCGCAATATCACCTTAAGAAATTTTAAGTAGATTCTTATACAGAATACCAGGTGCAATGATAGACATTTGAACCGATTTGAAAATGAGAATTACTTTTCTTATTGCGGCTTTTTAGGTGTGTATACATCTGTTAATTAATGGCCATAATCTTGGCCTTTTTTATATGATTACATTGTCACTTTGTAAGTGTCCCTGAACATGTTACATGAAAGGGCACACTAATATATTATATATAATAATAATAATAATAATAATGAAGTTTTATATAGCGTCTTCTCCATGTTGACACATGCTCAAAACGCTTTTTGTAATGGCTCTACTGGTAAAACTGTTGAAACAGGAAAGTCTTTAGTGTGGATTTAAATTGATTAAAAGTTTGTTGATTCTTGATCTGTTGTGGAAGTTCGTTCCATAATCTAGGACCAGCTGAACTGAAAGACCTATACCCATATGACTTTAAATTATATCTTGGAACAACTAGTGACTGTTTATTTTGAGAGTGAAGTGATCTAATAGGGTTGTAGTCATATAAGAGTTCAGATAAGTATTGAGGAGCTGCATTATTGTGACATTTATACACTAATGTTAGTATTTTGTATTTGACTCGCGCCTCAGCAGGTAACCAATGTAAAGAAGCCAGCATATTCTGGATGTGATCAAACTTATGTGTCCTCCTTGCTATTCGGGCTGCAGTATTAAGAACCTTTTGGATCTTGGCTAGAAGTGCTTGTGGGATTCCATAGAGTAAACTATTACAATAATCAATCCTTGATAAAATTAGTGATCGCACAAGTAGTTTACAAGCGTCAGCAGTGAGATAGTTTCTGATGTTGCATATACAGCGTAGATGATAGTAGCATGTACGGCATACCATATCAACCTGAGCGTCCATTGTCAGAGAAGGATCAAATATGACTCCAAGGTTTCGAACATTTTTGGAAAAATTTATTTCTGAATTACCAATGGTGATTTTAAGATCAGTTAGTAACTTGAGTTGTTATGATGAACCTACTAATATAGTGTATCAATATTCTTTTTTAAACTATAATGTATGAACATTAAGAAAATTTCAATTTATAGTATTATTATTATTACTTTGCCCCCTTTATTTGCAAAAATCTTCTCTGATGGTGATATTAGATTTGAATTACTTCTCCGTACCCGTTTGAAACGTAACTGTCTAAAGTCTGAGAAAGGTAATGAAATGTGAATTTTAATAAAATATCAAAATGGATTGGGGAACAGGAAAACGTATTCCTGTATAAAATTGCAATGCTGTTTGTTTCAAATCTACATTGCACTATTCATCTATTTAATGTGATTTATATTTGATATCATAATCCGACTATCATAAAAAAAATGGCCTATTAAAAACTAACATCTAACAAGTTACATGATCTTTCAGAAAGTATTCAGACATTATAAATTATCTGCTAGCTATTATAAAAACGTACAATACACAAACAGTGTAAGCGATATGATTAATGCTTCCCAAAGAGCTAACAATTTATCAGAATTTTCAAAGAAAAAATTGACCAATTTTTATAGTTTCATAGCAGTATCTTTTCAAATAAATCAACCGAACTGTAGTCGCCTTGACATCAACAGTTTTCCAATATGAACCCTGTATAAATAAATAGAATTGTTACTTTGATCAAGGATCCGTTACTGAAATTGTTGACCCCATGCTCTGCATGGACTATGCATGAAACTGTGCGACATGGAGTCTGAAATGGTCAGGTTGATTTTGAATTATATTTTTTTTTATCAGAAATCGGGTTATATTGTACAAATTTGAAGATACCAACAATAACTTGTCGGAAGACCAGAAAGTATATTTACATACTGCAAATTTGGCTTATTCGCTATAGAGCCGGGAATATTCAAATTGGGGCCTACTTGTTTGATATTTATAAATGCATTCACGATTTTGTATGATAGACTAAGGTCCATATATTTACTTTATTAAATGCACGTTTATTTATAAGTAGCCTGACTGTATGGTGCACAGTATAAACCGTGTACAGTCTCTGATAAAAATACAAAAGACTCATACGAGAAACATCAAGCATACAGCATATAGTTAATTTTACAAAGACCTGCGTAAAACACAGTCCAAAATTTTGATTTTACACATACATGTCAGATAAAGCCTGCTGGTCCTTGATTACACCCTTTCGGTGCAGTTATCGCAACTATAGAGAAAACACACCAATTAAACAATACACACCATTGACATTAGATTTTAACTTATCGGTTATGTAAAACATCTCTGCAAAAAAGGAACTGTCACACAGTTTTTCACCCCTAGCATTAATTAAATCACCTCTCAGTTAATTTCTCATGCTTGTTATTTAATGCACCTTATTTACAATTTCAACATGGTAATGCCAAGTAATAATCGGGATATTCTTTTAATAGGCGTACAAATAACACCCTAGACAGAGATTTCTATAGCCTACACATACAGATCAACCCTTACTTAGTTCTCAATGTAACTAGCTGTAAATTAAGGTTTAAGCAGTATTGAAAGGCAATGTTATGTATCAAAGTTTCTCTTAAAATAAGTTGCCCAAACTTTAAGTGTTTAGTCTTTTAGTGGTATTCAAAAGCCAGATTAAGTGAAAAATATTCATTTAACTTTAAGTGACCTATGGGAGGTACCTTAAAGTTAAGCAAGAGCTTAATCTGCCTATTGCATGTCTTAATAGGCTTTAAGATTAGAACAGTTCGTCCATTTAATGATTTAATTTAAATAGAGAATTGGTACCACTGCAATATACTTCCACATTCCTGCTTTGATTGATATTGTAGCGTTGGGTTTGTTTTGCCAAATTTACAAACTAAATATTAAGAAAAAAGTGGGTATGACACCACCCCAGGGGGTCGGGGCATGCACCAAAATAAATATAAGGAATAAATATGCAAAGTTCCAAGATGATCCATTCAAAATTGCCGCCTGTACACAATAAACACAAAAATTGGGCATGGCTCTGCCCCTGGTGGAGGAGATAGAACAATATAAATAGGTACAACCCTGTTATTGAAATGATTAATATGCTGAATTTTCACATATTTTGTTCATAATTGCAACCTGTATAGTATTTACAGACAATAAAAACAAGCCAACAGTGAGGCTGACGTCCCCCACCGAAATCCCAAAATAAATAGATGACAAATATTAATTAATCACACATTTATTTTTTTCAAAGGTATCGAGCAATCAAACTACACACTAAGTTTCATCACTCTCTATCAGATAGAATCAAGATTATCTTGTCCCAAAGCATCGGCCAATGAAATTGATTAGCTCTGCTTAGCTTTAGCTTGAAATGTTAATCATTGAAATCAGTCAAGACATTCACCTAATGAACATCTACATCAGGTTTAAACATTCTACCTCAATTAAAAGCAGAGTTTTTATATTCCAAAGTCTTGACCAATCAAATTGCTTATCGCTCCTTAGCCCAGGCAGAAAATTCGCACAATCGAACTTAGTCAAGGTAATGATATAATGAATCTATATTCAGAGTTTCATCGCTCTCCTTTCATTATAACCAAAGTTATTATGCCCCTAAAGCATCAACCAATCAGACTGCTTATCTCTGCCTACCGTAAGCAGACAATGTTCATCATTAAACTCCATCAGGGGATTCAGCTAATGAATGCCTACACCAAGTTTGAACATTCTACCACAATTAGAAGGAGAGTTAGTGTGTTCCAAAGTCTCAACCAATCAAATTGCTTATCGCTCTGCTTACCCTCAGCAGAAAATTTCATTATCGAACTTAGTCAAGGTATTGATGTAATAAAGCTATACACCAAGTGTCCTCACTCTCACTTAATTAGAACTAAAGTTGTCGTGTCCCAAAGCATTAACCAATCAAATTGCTTATCTCTGTTTACCCTAAGCAGAAAATGCTCATCTTCACACTCCATCAAGGCATTGACCCAATAAACACCTACACCAAGTTTGAACATTCTAGCTCAATTAGAAGGAGAGTTATTGTGTTCCAAAATCTTGGCAAATGAAATTGCTTATTGCTCTGCTTACCCTGAGCAGAAAATGCTCATTATCGAACTTAGTCAAGGTATTGATGTAATGAAACTATACACCAAGTTTCATCACTCTCACATAATTAGAACTAAAGTTATCGTGTCCCAAAGCATCAACCAATCAAATTGCTTAGGTCTGCTTACTCTAAGCAGAAAATGCTCATCTTCGAACTCCATCAAGGTATTGACCTAATAAACACCTACACCAAGTTTGAACATTCTAGCTCAATTAGAAAGAGAGTTATTGTGTCCCAAAAAGTGTGAAGGACAGACACAGATGGCGGGGGACACAAATGTGTCCAGTTTGTAGCTGACTGATTAACTTTGATAATGACTGTCCAATTTACAAGTATCTAATTTCCTGACCACAGTTCAAAAATTAATCATTATACATCAATAACCAATTGGGTTGTTTATTTTTTAACAGTGATCGAGAAATTAAAAACTTGCAAATTGGACACTCATTACAAATTAGATGAATTTTGGTGATTTTAAATGATTTTTACAAAGTTTTAAACAAATTACTAAACAAATATGAAAGAAATTAGTGCTAAATACACAAGATTAAATGATACCCAGATTACTTACTTTCTACTGACTTGGTCAAGTACTCTTTAATATGCATATCAATGTGTACATGAGTGGCCCCAAGTCATTTGAACAAATCAGCACACTTTTTATGTCAGTCTAGCCCACCCCTGGGCTTGCAAAATCCGGAAGGTTCTGTTAACCCCTGCTGCGATTCCAACCCAAGACAATCTAGTAATGAGTTTTGAATTAATGTGTTCAGTATTTACTGTACCTGTTATTGTTTGATAATTGTTCGTTTACATCACATCGCTTGTCACAAACTTCAACAATCACAGTAGCATTCTGACGTCCTAAATTACTGCCATGTAAAGTTAATTTAGTTCCACCAGAAATAGGACCGTATAGAGGTGTAATCTGTAATATACCAATATATACATAAGATAGCCATGCATAGTGTGAAAATATGCCATAGACAGCAGCTTAACAAAAAGGAAAACTTGGATGTTGACCAAATTTGATAGGATGCCTTCAAGATAAAGATTGTGTTTGTAATATATCTGTGGAACAGAAAGTCCTAGAATACTGAAAAATAACAGGATTCATCTACAGTATAAAGTCTGCAACCATACTGTGTAATACTGTATAATAAAAAATTTGATCGTTAAATCTATTGAAATTGTTTCAATGCTGTGTCTGCTCTAATTTGCAATGCCTATTTCACTGCCCCAAAAAACTCATTTCAACAGATAACTACAAACAGTAGATAAATTGACAAAACAGCCAAAATACAAATTACAAAAAAGTATATGGTGATTTAATTGAATGGTTGTGGTGATTTATAGTGAGAGATACTTTTAGATATCCGTGCTTGGCCGGTAGTAAGTCTTCTGTCTGATGAAAACACAGATCTTTTGTCTGAAAAACACTTGACTTTATAGTCTAATTATCTGAAGGAAGTGAATTTGTTTTTACAAAATTTGTTAAGTTGAAAGAGAGAGAAATGGGGCTAATGTCCAATCGACACAAACTAGGTCATTTTGGGACTAACATATGGTTCAATTTTATTTCAATAATTCGCTTGCGCATAGGGTCTTTAGCTGAGGGAGATACATTTTAGTAAATCAAACATTTTAATACTGTGTGGTGATCTCTTAAAAAAACTTTATTCTAATCCTGTACAATTATCCTGTTGCCTTAATCCATTTCTGTCATTTTCTTATATAAAGTCAGAAATAATGATACATGTTTTTATAGAAATATTACATTCCCATCATTATAATACATACCCCATCAATTAATGGTCGGCAAGAATTGTGATTGTGGCCCAAATTCGCTTGAGGTGCCACACATTTTGAATTAACCCAGATACATTCCAAGTCTTTACCCGTACCCACACACTGAGAACAATCTGTATAGTCATGACAAAAGTCCAAACTGAACTTCAGTACCTAAAATGAAAAACAAACAAAGCATTTGATGCATCTGAATACAAAATTTGACATACAAAATGAAGTGATGGTCAAAACAACTTGACAACACTTCAGGTGTATTTTTTTATAAACACCATTTCTATACATTGCCATTAAAGCTGTGCTCTCAAAACTCACTTACATGATTATTTTACAAATCATTATTTTATATAGACAACATAAAATATAATTGTTTTTATTTCTTATTTACATGAACTATATATATATATCAGTTTTATATTCTTTATTGATATTGTGATATTATTATATTTTATGGTAAAGTGCATCTGAACATGTTTATCATGAAAGGAGCGCTATATAAATACATGTAATAATAATTAATAATTATCTCAACTAAACAAGATATCTTAATAAGCTTAAAGTTATTTCACCAATGCAGAATAGAAAAGAAATTATTTATGTAATTCATTATATGTAGGTGTATATAAAGCACCACTTAAGAACAAGCACAGGAATCTGACCTTCTCAGGGGCGCTGGAACCCGGGTACCAGGGTATACAAATGCTACCCTGCCCTTTTCTGGGGTATAAATGTATACCCATGCCCTAATGATGAAAGTTTTCAACCTTTTTACTAGTCTATTCATTTGTAAATGATAGAATTGCTCATGATACGAAAATTGTGAATAATCAGGCTTTTGTCTCTTTCATTATCATGTATTTTAAACGGTTTTATGTTGGAATTTGGAATGCTAGAGGCGCTCTAAACAGCGTTCTCGGAATTGACAAATTTCAAAATTTTTTAGAGGTCGGGGGGAGAGAGCCCCCCCCCCCCCCCCCCCCGCCCAGGAACTCCCCTATCTTTTGGTACCCTGGCCCTCGTGCCGTTCCGGCGCCCTTGGACCTTCTAATCGTATATATATATACATACACCATACCAAACTAGACAATATATAATAAAAAAAGAACAGGAATGCAATGCCTGTTGAAGCCACGATTTTACCTGCTCTCGCTTCGGCTCGTTTTTTTTCAACAATTCGTAATGTCAGGCAATCAAACCTCTGTCGATTCACTCAGATATGTTTTTTCTTCAATCTAGCCATTTGATTTGCATAAATACTCCCCACAAAACGATATCATAGCCAATTGTTTCCAATATTTACATTATTTTCGTTCGTTGACGTTTGTCATTGAATCCATGCGCTGACTTCACACAAAAACCTAACTAAACTCTGAAGTCCTGTATACTTCCGCCTCAAAATCATGAATATTCACCAAATCCTCTTCTTCGATTCTACACCCAAAAGTCAACAAAAATCGCCATGCAAACGAGGGAAAATGGAAATGGAGAGAAAAACTAAAAATATCTTTGGCCCTTGTTTCAATGGTCTAGTCACTGCGGATTGATTTTGTGTGACTTCAGCGCATGGATTCAATGACAGGCATTGCATTCCTGTTCTTTTTTCATTATATATTGTCTAGTTCGGTATGGTGTATGCATATATACGGATAGAAGGTCAGATTCCTGTGGAACAAGATCCCTTGAGCTAACCCTACCCCTCCTTAAAAGGGATAGGTGAGTCCATTGAGTTTAAATTCTTAAAAGAAATTCTGAAGGTGCTAAAACTCTCTTCTACACTCAAAGCCATAAGAAAACACAATGCCAAATTCAAAGTTTATTTACTGCAACAACTTTTAACAAATCTACATAACAATTGACAAAATCGAGATAACAAGCATCTGTGGATAATTTTATGACCAGGTAGTATTTAATACAGCCATTCACCCAATACAGGGCTAGACTTACACCACAACTTGGCTCCCAAGATGGATTATCTATAGTAAGTTATCAATGGTCAGCTATGATAGAGATTAGAGACAATAGTAGTAATGAGATAATCCATCTATAAACATTAGGCAACTTAGTAAATGAATGAATGGATGTCACTTAAATACTACCCATTAACAACTATAAAATATTATTAAGTTTAAATATATATGTAGCGAAGCGGAATTTTAATGTTTATAGGTTTTATTATGTCAAGTAATATAGTGTATTGAGAGAGTGCACCTTTAAACTAACAAACTGACACTAATTTTAATTGCAACTGGTCTATAATAACATCTGTCCTTTAACTTGGCTTGTTAACCTGTACTGTTTTCTTAGAGCCCAAATCTTGGGGTGAGTACAATTCTACTCCCTTGGTTACAAGCAAGTTTTCTTTTTATCTGAACCTCACTTTAGACATCAGACATTAGATAGATTTCGAAGTGTAAGGACAATTTGATATCTTCAATTAAATTGTTTAACTTTATTTTCCAAATCTAGTTAGGTTATTTTCAGGGAATTGTTCCAGTTATACTACTTTAATATTACAGGTATGTGTGCTAATTCTCTTATTTTGGGTAATTGGGGTTTAGATGGAGCGGATGTAGGAATGATAGAAATTGTAATATCAAGCAGCCATTTTATTTAAATAGATAGAAAATAACATGTAAAGATCATTAGTTTTTCATATATAGATATATATAGTAGATTTTTATAAGGTACCGTTTTGAAAGTATATTGTATGTATAATCAGAATAATGTTATTTTCCAGAATATAGTTATCTGAAGATTTTGTTCACCATCTTGATAGTCTTATTTAAAAACCCCTTCTTTGGGTATGTTATCAATTACTTATATTATATTTAGTATAAACTTAAGGCCTGTTTAATATGTTTAATTTAATTAGTGATGTATTTTAGTGTATAAATTATTGATATATTTCATTGAGTACCAATATGCATGCCTTACTATTATTTTATTGTACTCAACTGTTACTGTGATATGTATATCAATTTTAACGTATATATATTTCAGGGTTTTTAATAAAGGTTTAAAAACTAACCACCTTAGTTTTTATTGAGAATTTACACCCCCCCGGTTACATTTTGGCGCCCAACGTTCTGAAGACAAGGTACCTACAGAGTTCCAGAGGCCTAAAGATTCGCGTTCGCGGGATACAGCTGCTGTTTCATCGGTGGATCTTTAGAGACATTATCAGTGTTAATCTCATACTTGTGTTTGTGAAATTCTTTTGGATTTGTTCGATAGGCCTTTACTTTAATTTACTATATTATTTAAAATACTGCAATTTTTGTTTTTCTATTTTCATAATCTAAAAGATTATATATTCATTATTTACATAGATTATTTCTGGTTAAAACTGGATTTGACCCACTGACATTTTTGTTGACTTCCTGTTTAGTATATAGGTCAGGTCACTGTGACCAGTAGGTCAAAGTCAACAACTTGGTATTTGGGCAAAGTTTGATTGTAACTATTCTTTATAGCAAATACACATATTAGAACTTCATATTCAGTATTAGGTTTTTCATTGATTAATTATTTCTTTTATTTTATATAGTTAACTTCTTCACAATTATATTTGTGAAATTATTTTTTTTCCTTTGACTTTTAATTTATTACATACTTGTTTATTATCCTACTTATGAAATATTGCATACATTTTCCACTTTTACTTTTAAACTTAATTATCATAGAGTGAAAGGGTGTGTACTTGTGTATTTGGGTTGGTTATATTAGGTGGGATCGCGAGCACACATACCCCTGGTGTAGATTATTTATTTTTCAGGTTTTGATTTTGAAATTGTGTTTTGGGTTGATATCTGATTTGGTTTTGTGTACATTTTTTTTTTTTACTTCTATTTGATTTTATATTGAGTTTGATTTTGTTTGCGCTCTTGTTTTTGTATTGAGTTTTGGTTTTGAGTTTAAGTTTGTCGCTTGTTGGGATTTTGACTTAGACATTGACTTTACATTAGACTTGACATTACATTAGACTTGACTCTGACTTGTGACTTGAATTCAACTGTTTACTTGGACTTATTTAATTTTTATTGGGATTTTGACCTTTTTCTTGGGTTGATGTTTCATTGTTTGACACTTGTACTGAATTGTGAATTTGATTATTTTCATTTTACGAGTTTTGGATTCAGGATTTGTTTTATCAACTTGTGATTTGGTGTTTGATTATTTTGGTCAAAAGTGTTTTTATTTCAGCTGTGCAATGGCAGAATCATTTTCCCCTGAAGAAGCTGATAACTTGTTAAAAACTTTTCTAGCCATGGGTGTTAAACCTAAAGCTTCCAGTAAAGAAGACCTTGAGAAATGGATGAAAGATTATTTTACAACAAAGGAAGAACTTCATCCCTCACAAGAACATCTACCCGCGTTAAGTCGAGATAAACCACGCGAAGACATTAAGATGCTGCCAGCTTTACCCAAGGTGTCATTTTTCTCTGGGGATCCAGTATCCAAGTCTGAAGTTTCTTTTGACGTTTGGAAGTTTGAAGTTGAGGAGTTGGTTCAGTCAAGTTACAACAAGGAACAGATTCGACAAGCCATCTTTAAGTCATTACGTGGTGAAGCAGGTAAGATAGTGATGAGGTTAGGACACAGGGTGGAGTTAGATCGTCTGTTAAAGAAGCTGAACAGTGTTTTTGGACGTGTTGAGGAGACACAAGATCTGTTAGCCGAGTTTTACTCTACGGTGCAGACTCCGAAGGAATCAGTTGCGGAATGGGGTTGCAGACTTGAAGATATTCTCCAGAAAGCTGTTGATCGTGGTGATGTTTCACAGGATGCTACCAACGACATGTTACGTACAAGATTTTGGAGTGGACTTACAGCCAGTATTAAACAGCAAACTGCGCATAAATACGATCGTATTAAAGATTATGAGGAATTGATGGTGGAAGTGAGAAAGATTGAATCTGAAGTTTATTTGTCATCATCGGAAAGAAAAAGACCATCTGCATCTCATCATATTAAAGCTGTAACAGAAGACAATGAAATGAAGAACTTAATAGCATCTTTAACACAGACTGTACAGGCACTTCAGAAAGATGTAAAAGATCTGAAGAATAATAGACCGGATCAGAGTAACAGTAGACAGGAACACGAGGAACCTACATGTTTTAGGTGCGGTCAAAAGGGACACATCCGTACAGGTT